TTTATGGTTCAACTCTCACATCTGTACATGACTATGGAAATGCTGAGGCCTGTCTTCACAGGGCTAGTGAGTGGTATAATCAAGATGAGAACTCAGGACCCAGGTTCCAATTCAATTCTCCTGTCCTATGCCTTTTTGTTCTCAATTCTAGCTACTCACTTTTTTTACTGCCTTTTCCACCTCAGTAAAGGTGGCTTGAGGGAACAAAAATGACAATAGATGCCAAAGCAGAGAGCTGTCTTTTAAAATACAGCTTTCAATGACAACATTGTTACCTAAAGTATATTTGCATTAGCCTGGGGCACTGTTCTCAGTAAAATTTTTCCCTTTCCAATTATGGGTATAATCAATAAATATGTACTGTCAGCCAACTTTGTAACAGCCCTGTGCTAAGTGCTGGAAGAGATTGCAAAAGAGACAGGGTCAGCGATAAGGTTACTGTTGTCATAGGACTTATACTGAGTGGAGGGAAAAAGTAGAATCCATGGAATGGTAGCAAAGCATTAATTTTTTAAAGAAATGCACACAGGATAAGTGCATAAAGAATGGAATGAGTAGAAATGGGGTCTGAACTGTGCATGAAGAATTTAAGTAAGGGGAACAGGGAATATAGCTTTGGTTTAGTTTGTTACTTGTATTAAGTTGGGGGACACCCTTAATAAAGATCTAGACGAGGAAACAGGTCTGCTAACAGCCATCGTGAGGTTCTGACAGCTTTCTGATTTTGACAGCCTTCATCCTTAGAGCCATCTTTTTGCTTCTGGATAGATGATGGGGCTTCAACCTGCTGCTGCTGCTGCGTCGCTTCAGTCGTGTCCGACTCTGTGCGACCCCATAGACGGCTGCCCACCAGGCTCCTCTGTTCACAGGATTCTGTAGGCAAGAATACTGGAGTGGTTTGCCATTTCTTTTTCCTACATCCTTGCAAAACTCAGCAGGCAGAGTCTGAAACCCTTCAGTTTTAACTGTGAGTCCATATGACCACAATCATCTATGAATGCTTTCCAGGATGCTCCCATGTCCCTGTCTCATCCTCACACATTTTTGAAGGTAATAAAGCTGCTGCTACATAACACAATGGCCAGTATTTCCCCAGAGTATAAGCAGGTGTTTTAAATATAAGCTTTGGTATATACATCTCATATTAAAAACTCCTGGTGCACTCAAACTATGGTAAAAGCTTGTAATATGAGTCTCTATCAGTACTGCTTCTTCCAGACACATGGGGAGATTATTGATCATGGCTCCCTCCTTGAAACTGGGGAGTGATGTTCTGGCCATGGGTTAGGCAGAAGTAATATGAGTGACATATGTCACTTTCAGATCAGAGCATTTAACTCTGACATAAGAGCCTCACAACTGGTGAAATCCATCTGACTCCCAAAATGAGGAGGACATGGTGCTGAGCTCCCTCCTTAGGTGTGATTGACAGATACTGTGAATGAGAAATTAACCTTTGTTGCTTAAATCACTAAAAATGTTGGCGTTGATGTATTCTGCAGCATAACCCAGCCAATTCTGAATACTTTATTTAAATTTTTTTGAAAGAATGGGTGGAATAAATTCCGTCTACTTCAACCTAGTGTCTGATTCTCAGCAGTCCCTCTATTTTCCTTAAAAACTTCTAAGTTCTGTCTGTTCATGATGGCTTTGTATTGTTTCTGGGCCCCTATCCAGCTTGGTAGGCATTTTTCTGAAATGTTTCTTGTGTCAGAAAATTATCTTGTCAAAGAAGTTGGACTAAGCCCCGGGAAGCTCTGCGGTAAAGCAGTGGATCTAAATTACAGACCTCTATGTATTGCCCATCGACTGCATGTTCTTCTGTGTTTCTAGATCAGAGGGCCTGAGCTTTCCTTCTGCCTGCTTTCAGGAAGTACTAAGTACCTTCCCTGGCAGCGCAGAGGTAAAGAATCCAGCTGCCAATATAGGAGATGTGGGTTCGATCCCTGGGTCGGGAAGATCTTCTGGAGGAGGAAATGGCAACCCACTCCCAGTATTGTTACCTGGAAAATTCCATGGACAGAGGAGCCTGGTGGGCTACAGTCCATGAGATGGCAGAGTCAGATACTACTGAGCGACTCTATACACAGGTACCCTCTACCCGAAAATATAAAACCTTGCTTTGCCAGAATAGTCCTAAGAGGAAGTTAACCAAGGTACAAATCCATTTTGTCTAAATGGGTCAATATATGTAGGCTGGAGAATGGAAGACTTTAAACTTGCAACGTTCTTTCTTCCTACGTCTTCAAGGTATGCTTTCTTTCCCTCTCCCTGAAAGTTCTAGCTGCTCCTGCCTGTTAGATACCATCTTCATTACTAGAGTACACTTTGTTGCCATAGCAGTTGATTTCTACTCTCACATTTTATTGCACTTATAGCTGCTACAGGCAACAGAGAAGGGGCAGGGGGAGCAGGAGTTTTCTTTCAAGTGCCAGGCTTCTCCTGCTCTGAGAAACTTCTAACCTCCTCTAAAAGGGAGCTCAGGGTCAGGAATAGCAGAGGGGGTGCCCTGCCCCAGAAGACAGGTTGCAGCTCTCTAGTCTGGGACTGGGACAAGGCACAGTACTTTTCTGGCCCTGGTAGGATTACATCATCCTTGTATTCACTCTTTCTTTTTAGGCTTCAGCACTTATACTTTCAAAGAAAACAAAAAAGTCAGCAGGCCCGCGATCAGGGATAAAGATCAAAGAGGAAGCAGAAGCTGGAAAGTTCTACCGAAGTGCCTTTCTAAGGTCCCAAATACAGTGTCTCAATTAAGGTGACCCTAAACCCCCAAATTATTATAATGATGATGATAACTTGCATGTGCATAGTACCTTTGCTCTTTTAGTGTATTTTTATATGTACTGTGTTCTTCCCCAATCTTCTTTCTTTTTAATTGAAGGAAAATTGCTTCACAATATTGTTTTGGCCTCCGTCATACATCAACATGAGTCAGCCATAGGTTTACACATGTCCCTTCCCTCTCTAATCTCCTTCCCACCTCCTAGCCCCTCTCACCCATCTAGGTTGTTATAGAGGTCCCATCTGAGTTCCCTGAGCCATATAGCAAATTCCCATTAGTTATCTATTTTACATATGGTAACTATATGATAATAACTTATATGTGCATAATACCTTTGCTCTTTCAGTGTATTTCCACATGTATTGCTTATTTTTTTTTTTTTTTTGGTGTTAAATAGTACCCTCTTAATGAAGATGTCTCCATGAACTATATTTCATAGTGACGTCTTAATTCATCCATTTTGTTGCTTTTTCAGCATATACCTTCATATCTCCTACTACCTGTATTGAAGAGACAGCATCTTAAACTATCTAATCCTGCTACTATTTTACTTTATGTGCATGAATCTTAGCCCAGCAGACAGGTCTTGCTGTTTGAGAATGGATTCTCAGACAGCTTCTGTGGCTCACATGGAGATCACTCCAGTGTGAGGCACTCTGTAAACTTCACAGGGTGATGGAGATTCAGACTTTTGTCCAGAACTACGAATATGGATTTGACACTTAGAACTTTAAAATTATCCATCTGTCACAGGCCAGTGACTTAGGCTATTTGTATAGTAAAAAGTGCAATGAAGGTTTCCTTTTTCAGCGTGATATTAAACATCATCAAATTTTATAAATTCTTCTTAAATATTTTTGTCAGAGAAAAGATCTGCGACTTTCAACTGTAATTTTTAAATGTTCAATATGTATAGACAAGCTGCTGTATTTTATATAAATGAATATATTCATAGAACAAACTTTAAATTTCAGAAAACAACACAGATTGTAGGAGTTTAAATTCCTGTTCGTATTCCAGTAGCAATGACTAATGTGTCCATTTTAAGAATAGTGGCAAATGATTGAGGAGGAGTGCATTTCTACCCTTGCTGGAGGCTGCTATTTTGTGGAGAAGCATTTGTGGTCTGGTGACTCAAGAAGAGAGGTAGGTAGCTACCCATATATTCTAAATTCTGCTTCCACTGCTCCATCTGTCCCAGACTCATGCTGAGACCTTGTCTGGGTAACACTACCCTCTACTGGGTGGAACCAGAACAACAACTCAATCCCTTTTTAATCCAGTGCAGCGTGTCGCAGTATTTAAACTCTAAGAGAGACCTTAGGGGTTGTTCTTATAGATGAGAAGACTGACTTCAGAAGGCAGAAATGTCAGGACTGTGACTCCTAACAGTTTACATCAGAGGCCAAAGCACCCTGCTTTCCTTACTCTTTCGGTGGCTAATTTCCCCAAAAATTTCAGAGTAGGGTAGAGGCTCTGAACACAACACACAGCAAAAACACAAATGTATTACTTGCAGCTATAGGAATATTTGTTAATAACCGATGCCCCCTGCTGCATGAATTACTTGTGCTATTTAAACCTATCACAAATAATTTTTTTTAGATAAATTTATCATAGACTGTTGCATTATTCATAAAACTACTTGAATACACTGCTTTCTTTTTTATCATTTGTAAATGTTGTACCGTTTCTGCTTCAACAAGAATGTGTCTTCAAATGGAACTCTGTCTTCAGGGCCTATGGGGCTTTGGTAATGGCACATTTTAAGAGCAGGATTTCTCTAATTGTAATACGAATTAAGGTATCCTTACTCCTTCTCCTACATTTTCATGAGACATTATGTGTTTAGCTCGAGAATAGAATGGACCACAAGAACAGATGCAGGAGGCACCCTATGGGAAAGAGGGGGCTGGACAGGCCAAAGTATTGGGTGACTGAATTTACAGTTACACCTGATCTCTCAGTAATCCAAATGTTGATCAATCACATTTAGCACACAGTTACCCTAGAAGCAGGCGATAACAGCAGCAAAACTGGTGTTACCTAGACCTTGATCCCGTAAGAGGAGCCCCGGTGCTCTCACTTAATGTCTGTGTTCTCTTATTTCACACAAATTCTTTAAAACAGGCCCAAAGTACATGAAGACAGCAAAGTCTGGGGTCAGGGCAGGAGTGGTGGTGGANATCCCGTAAGAGGAGCCCTGGTGCTCTCACTTAATGTCTGTGTTCTCTTATTTCACACAAATTCTTTAAAACAGGCCCAAAGTACATGAAGACAGCAAAGTCTGGGGTCAGGGCAGGAGTGGTGGTGGAATGAGCTATTCCAGGCATGTGCACACACAGGAGTACGGAGCAACAGCTGGTGCTACAGCAGAAAGCGGGAGACAAAGGAAGAGAGGTAACTAAAAGTATTGTGACCTCAAGATCACTAACAACCCTTCGCAAAGGGACCAAAAGTCACACCTACCTCAGGAGAGTGAGTTAATTTTATAATAATGACCTGCACGTGTGCATGTGCGCTAAGTCATTTCAGTCGTGTCTGACTGACTGTGACTCCGTGGACTGAAGCCCCCCCCGCAGGCTCCTCTGTCCATGGGATTCTCCAGGCAGGAATACTGGAGTGGGTTGCCATGCCCTCCTCCAGGGGATCTTCCTACCCCCAAGGACTGAACCCACATCTCTTATGTCGCCTGCATTGGCAAGTGGGTTCTTTACTACTAAAGTCATCTAGAAAGTCCAATGAGTGAGTGAAAGTCACTCAGTCATGTCTGACTCTTTCAACCCCATGGACTATATAGTTCATGGAAATCTCCAGGCCAGACTACTGCAGTGGATAGCCTTTCCCTTGCCCGGGGGATCTTCCCAACCCAGGGATCGAACCCAGGTATCCCACATTGCATGCAGATTCTTTACCAGCTGAGTCACAAGGGAAGCCCAAGAATACTGGAGTGGGTAGCCTGTCCCTTCTCCAGTGGCTCCTCCTGACCCAGGAATCGAACCAGGGTCTCCTGCATTGCAGGTGGATTCTTTACCAACTGAGCTATCAGGGAAGCCCATGACCTAGAATGGTTAAAAAAAAAAAAAAGTTGTATTCTATTAATATTTAAATCCACTTAAAGTTTTTTTAAAAAAAAAGGCCCCATAGTCTCCATTTATTTAGATTTTTATTCAAAAGTAGTTAGAATGACTATCCAGAATAAGCCATAAGATTACGAGAACTTGAATGAAAACCTACTATATAGCACAGAGACAGTATATATATACACAGTTAGCTGATTCATTCTGCTATATAGCAGAAACTGATACAACATTGTAAATCAACTATAAATAAAAATTAATTAAAAAAAGATTGAGAACTAGATGTATTTTATTGGCTCTTTGGAATTCCCATGCTAAAATAAAAAGTTGCTTTATTTAAGTCATTTAACAAAATATATCAAATGCCTCATCTACTTGTTGCCAGGCAGATGTTTTAGTCAGGAAAGGTGCTCTATGTATCCAAACAGACATAGATTCTAGCCCCCATTGAGGACAAATGGAGGAAGGCGTTCAATAAGCAAAATACGTACATAAATGTTTACAGAATATAACGCTTCCCAAGTGGCTCAGTGAGTGGGTAAAGAATCGGCCTGCAATGTAGGAGACACAGGATGATGCAGGTTCGATCCCTGGGTCGGGAATATCCCTGAGGAGGGCATGGCAACCCACTCCAGTACTTTTGCCTGGAAAAATCCCATGGAGAGAGGAGTCTGGCCGCTACAATCCATAGGGTCACATAGAGGCAGACAAGACTGAAGCAACTGAGCACATATGCCCATATAGAATATGAGATGCAAGCAATAATTTGAGGAAATACAAAATAAAAAATGAGAGCCAGTGAGGCTGGCGAAAAGCTGCATTTTAAATAAGCCAGAGAGGAGAGGTTTCCCTGAGAAGTGGTTTGGGGAGCAAAAACCCAGAGAGGGTGAGGAAGCAAGCTATGCACTTGTCCACAGGAAGACTCTGGTTATCTTATACGTGTACACTGATTAACTGTAATTCTTCCATAATCTCTATTGTAAACTCCATGCTCTGATCACTGTCTCTTTTATTTTCAGTTCTTCCTTCTACTCTCTGACTTCAGCAGTCCTTGGATATGACATTGATCTAAACCCCTTTTCACTGGTCTCATGTCCTTACTCCCCTTTAAATTTCATGCTCAACCATTATTACCACTCCCTATCACTTCCCTAAATTATCTTGCCCCATCTTGCTTCACTATACTTATTTATTACAGTAAAACCTCAGCCCTGTGGAAATCCAGGGTCCCAGGTGGTGCTAGTAGCAAAGAACCCACCTGCCAATGCTGGATGGAGAAGGAAAGCAACCCACTCCAGTGTTCTTGCCTGGAGAATTCTGTGGACAGAGGAGCCTGGTGGGCTGCCATTCATAGGGTCGCATAGAGTTGGACACGACTGAAGCGACTTAGCTTGCATGCATGCATTGGAGAAGGAAATGGCAGCCCACTCCAGTGTTCTCGCCTAGAGAATCCCAGAGACAGAGGAACCTGGTGGGCTGCCGTCTATGGGGTTGCACAGAGTTGGACATGACTGAAGCGACTTAGCAGCAGCAGCACCAGCAGCCAATGCTGGAGACATAAGAGACAGAGGTTCGATTCCCGGTTTGGGAAGATCCCCTGGAGGAGGGAATGGCAACCTACTCCAGTATTCTTGCCTAGAGAATCCCATGGACAGAGGAATCCTATGGACTGCTGGGCTACCAGTCCATAGAGTTGCTAAGAGTTGGAAATGACTGAGGTGACTCAATATGCACGCATGAGGTGACAATATGCATTGTCTTCTACTCTGTCACTATAACCTCTCTCTTTAAATTAAAGACTGCTAATCTCAACTAGGGGCTTCCCAGGTGGCTTGGTGGTAAAGAATCCGACTGCCAAGCAGGAGGTGCAGGTTTTATCCCTGGGTTGGGAAGATCCCATGGATTAGGAAATGGCAACCCACTTCAGCATTTTTGCCGGGGAAATCTCCTCAGCCCTGTGGAAATCCAGGGTCCCAGGTGGTGCTAGTAGCAAAGAACCCACCTGCCAATGCTGGATGGAGAAGGAAAGCAACCCACTCCAGTGTTCTTGCCTGGAGAATTCTGTGGACAGAGGAGCCTGGTGGGCTGCCATTCATAGGGTCGCACAGAGTTGGACACGACTGAAGCGACTTAGCTTGCATGCATGCATTGGAGAAGGAAATGGCAGCCCACTCCAGTGTTCTCGCCTAGAGAATCCCAGAGACAGAGGAACCTGGTGGGCTGCCGTCTATGGGGTTGCACAGAGTTGGACATGACTGAAGCGACTTAGCAGCAGCAGCACCAGCAGCCAATGCTGGAGACATAAGAGACAGAGGTTCGATTCCCGGTTTGGGAAGATCCCCTGGAGGAGGGAATGGCAACCTACTCCAGTATTCTTGCCTAGAGAATCCCATGGACAGAGGAATCCTATGGACTGCTGGGCTACCAGTCCATAGAGTTGCTAAGAGTTGGAAATGACTGAGGTGACTCAATATGCACGCATGAGGTGACAATATGCATTGTCTTCTACTCTGTCACTATAACCTCTCTCTTTAAATTAAAGACTGCTAATCTCAACTAGGGGCTTCCCAGGTGGCTTGGTGGTAAAGAATCCGACTGCCAAGCAGGAGGTGCAGGTTTTATCCCTGGGTTGGGAAGATCCCATGGATTAGGAAATGGCAACCCACTTCAGCATTTTTGCCGGGGAAATCCCATGGACAGAGGAGCTGGGTGGGCTATAGTCCCATGGAGTCACAAAAGAGTTGGACACGATTTAGCGACTAAACAACAATAGCAAAAATTTGAACTAGGTGCTGCCTAGAAATCATAGCACAGAATTCTACTCCATTTGCTCATCTACAATCCCAGATGTATATTCCACTCTTTCCTGTTTCATTTTAACTCCAGTTCACTCTCAGTTCTATGACCTTGCTTCCTATTTCACAAAGAGAAAGACAGTCCATTGGAAGAAAGCTTTCACAAGTTCCCACCACCACACCTGCCCAGCGACCAGCATCCGAGCTGCGTTCTGCCCTGCTGCAATAGACGCAGTGTCTGTGCTGCGAGGGCCACCTCAGTAGGACACCCTATCTGATCCTACTTTGTCTATCCGAGGACATGCCAGCAGCTTTGTCCTTCATCAGCAGTTGTTTCCTTTTTACTGAACCCGTCTCATTAGCGTACAAACAAGCCTGCTCTGGAGTCTGTGTTTTCCTGATACCAATTCATCTATTTGCTTTTTTATAGCCACATTTCTTAAGAGTTTCCTATCCTTAATATATCTGATTCCTCTTCCACCCATTAATTTTTTTTTTTTTTAACTGACTCCAATCGGGCTTTCTATGTTTCTAGCCCCCCCTATACTTTCTCAGGCTCACTAACAAGCTCTACTTTGCTATATCTAGGGATTACTTTTCATCAAGATCAACTCATCTGTATCATTTGATTTAGTTTTCTTTACCTATTAGAGCTTCCCTGATAGCTCAGTTGGTAAAGAATCCATCTGCAATGCAGGAGACCCCGGTTTGATTTCTGGGTCAGGAAGATCCACTGGAGAAAGGGTAGGCTACTCACTCCAGTATTCTTGGGCTTCCCTTGTGGCTCAGCTGGTGAAGAATCTGCCTATAATGTGGGAGACCAGGGTTAGATCCCTGGGTTGGGAAGATCCCCTGGAGAAGGGAAAGGCTACCCACTCCAGGATTCTGGCCTGGACATTTCCATGGACTGTACAGTCCATGGGATTCCAGAGTTGTACACAACTAAGTGACTTTCACTTTCACCTATTGAGACTTCTTTTTATTGCCTGTCACCAAGTAGGTCCTAAAGGGATTTTGATGGGAATACACTAGAGTCTGGAACCCTGAATCTGTGGGGGATATTATAATAAAAATCAGATTTGTATAGTACTTTACATTCTACAAATATCATATATAGCATCTATTTTAACATTTACAATAATCCCAGGAGAAAGGCATTTTTCAGATGACAACTGTTAAGAAGGAAGACCTGACAAAGACGGGATTACATACACTTATGTAGTTTCTCTCAGAGGCAGAAGCAAGCCTGTGTTGGATAGTGGATATTGGACAGTGAGGGTCAATCAGAGGTGGGTAGTTCAGCATGCTGAAGAGGAAATCCTGCCAAGGAAAATAAAGAACATAAAAATAAATAAGTAAAACAGGATGGAAGAGGCTAATTTTGTACTGTTTGTCATTTTACATCCAAATGGTTTTAAAGCATGAGACATGCGACGGGAAAAGTTTAATAGGGAAGAATCCTTGAAGTTGGTTTTAGGAATAAAATAAAAAGCCATTGGATTCTCTCCTCATGCCTAATAAGAAATCAACATGAGTGTCCTAAATGTTAATTTTTGTTGTCTCTCCTTGTAAAAACCTATTGATGATAAAATAAAAAGTATGAAGATTGTTATGGACTGAATATTTGTGCTCCCTCCAGATTCACATTTGAAATCTTAACCCCCACCTCCTGCCATGTGATCTTATTAGAAGATGGACTCTGTGGGAGGTGATAAAGTCCCCATGTGATCTTATTAGAAGATGGATTCTGTGGGAAGTGATGAGGTCATACGTATGGGAGCCTCCTATGGGGGATTGTTGTCCCCAGAGAGCTTTCTCACCCTTTCCACCACAGGAGGATGCAAAGAGCCAAGATCCAGAAGGGAACCAGCCATACTGACACTCTGATCTTGGACTTCAACCCTTCACAACTGTGAGAAATAAATTTCTGTTGTGTACAAGTCACCCAGTCCACAGTACTTTGTTATAGCAACCTGAACTGACAAAGACAAGAACATTACAATTTACTGCCCATCTTAGTTCAGACTATGATTTTTAAAATAACATAGAATGAATGGCTTAAATAACAGGAATTTACTTCTCATAGTCAGGAGGCTGGGGATTCTAAGATCAAGGAGATGCTGGCATATTCAGTGTCTCTTGAGAGCCTGCTTCCTAGTTCACAGACAACTGTCTTCTATTTGGCTGGTCTTCATGTGGCCCCTGTGATCTCTTTTATAAGGGCACTAATCACATTTAAGAGGGGTCTACCCTATTGACCTTATTACATCACAAAGCCCAATATCCTAACACCATCAATTGGGAATTAAGTTTTCACCATATGAATTCTGCTACTGCTACTGCTAAGTCACTTCAGTCGTGTCCGACTCTGTGTTACCCCATCCCTGGGATTCTCCAGGCAAGAACACTGGAGTGGGTTTCCATTTCCTTCTCCGATATGAATCCTGGGAGAACACAAATATTCAGTGTATAGCAATGCCCAGTATTTTTCACCCTGAATCTCTAATATTGAAAGGAAATCTGAAACTCTCTAGAGTTCTCAGAGACTATCCTGAGAAGGTTGCCACCACCAGTCTTTCTAGAGTTGGTCTTAGGACACAAGCAGATCTATGCAATATATGAGAGACTAAAAAGAAGTTTTCATGTCAACCAACTCTAGCCCCATCCATCTGACTGTCACACACATGTACATATGTCCACACACACACACACACACTCACACAGAAGCGATCCACTGTTGTATGGAAACAGTTGCAGTTCAAGCCAGTAAAACATTCCACTGAGCACTTTCTACACAGATTAAACCTTTGTTTTTCTTTGCTCTGAAGCTGATAAAGGAGAACACTTAGACAAATTAAATAATAAAGAGATCCCATTACTGTCATTTAATTCTGCACATATAAGGATAAAAAGGCCTTCCTCCCATGAAATTGTAATGCTGATTACTTTTCTCTGTTCTCTTTAAATCCAATCACTTACCTCAATTCATCAGCATTTAAATACAAGGAGGATGGTTTCATAAATGGAGAGAACACAATTCAGTGCCTTGACACACTGTGTTTGCTATCAATTATGTTAGTCATAATCTCAAGCATTAAAGAAGGATTGGTATATTAACCTAAATACTGCTCAAGGGACTGTGGCTGCATTCACAAATTTATTATTTTTTTAAGTTTTTATGTTGTTCATTGTACTTCATTAAGCTGAGAAAGAGAATCAGAGGTGTGGACACTGTACATGCTCTGGCCTCTGCATATTGCCCATCATTTTATTGTAGTTAATTTCTATTTATTTATTGGAGTATGTTGTGTTAGTTCCAGGTGTGTAGCAAAATGACTCAGTTATACATATATCCACTTTTAGATTTTTTTCCCCATATAGGTCATTACAGAATAATGAGTAGAGTTCCCTACGCTATACAGTAAGTCCTTAATATCTATTTACATATAGTGGTATGTATAGGTCAATCCCAATCTCCCAGTTTATCCTTCCTCCCCACCCCCCACCCCACCATGTCCTGGTAACTGAAAGTTGGTTTCCTACATTTGTGACTCTACTTTTCTTTTGTAAATGAGTTACTTTGCACCCTTTTTAGAGATTACACATATAAGCAATATCATATGATTTCTCTTTCTCTGACTTACTTCACTCAGTGTGACAAGCTCTTCTGCTGCTGCTGCTAAGTCGCTTCAGTCATGTGGCAATCTCTAGGTCCATCCATATTGCTGCAAATGACATCATTTTGTTATTTTTTATGACTTTGTAGTATTTCATTGCATACACACACATTCTTTGTCCATTCCTCCATCAGTGGACATTCATGTTGCTTCCATGTCCTGGCTTTTGTAAATAGTGCTGCAGTAAACATTGTGGTGCATGTATCTTTTTGAATTATGGTTTTCTCTGAATATGTGTCCAGGAGCAAGATTGTTGGATCATATGGTAGTTCTATGTTTAGCTTTTTAAGGTACCTCCATGCTGTTCTTCATAGTGACTATACCAATTTATATTCCCACCAACAATGTAGGAGGGTTTCCTTTTCTCCACATCCTCTCCTGCATTTATTGTTCACAAAAATTTTTATGGTGGCTGTTCTGACCAGTGTGACGTGATATCTCACTGAAGCTCTGATTTGCATTTCTCTAATAATAAGTGATGTTGAGCATCTATTCATGTGATTTTGGCCATCTGTATGTCTCCTTTGGAGAAATGTCTATTTAGATCTTTGTGCATTTTTGATTGGCTTTTTAAAAATATATATATATTTAGCTTCATGAGCTATTTGTATATTTTGGAGATTAATCCTTTTTGATTGCCCACTATTTAAAATCCTATTTTATCAATCCTTATATGATCTCTGATCTTGATATATCCTAGGTCTGTTTTGCTTTGTTTTCAAAGACTTATTTAAATAGAATTATACCATCTATCATATGTAATGATGTGACTGAGAAAATTCATGAGTGTCTTAAACAAGTTATTTCTCTAAGTCTCTCCATAGATAAAATCACAACAATACTCACCTCCATGTATTATTATAAGAACTAGATAGCCACTGAACTTTTGTCTCTCTTTCTCACCTGAGGTTACCCTAGAAGTGTCCATGTAAGAATCAAGAATGTGTTTTAGTTATAAATCCAGCTTTCCTTATGTTATCTTTCTCCTCTTTTTTTTTACATAGATCATTTTCATGAAAAATAAAATATCAATCATGAAAAATGACAAATCATCTACAGTTGCATCACTCACAATATATACTTATACATTCACTCTATTAAGGATCCATTATGTGCTAGGAATGATTCTAAATTTTGAAATTAGAGCACAAAATGAAACAGACAAAAATCCTTGCCCTTAGGAATAGCTTTCATTTTTCCTCTCCTTTTCATTTCTCCTCTACATATACAAATGTGATATGTGATTGCAATAACTGTGGTCATATTTTTTACTCTGCTTCTTTCATTTATTATTAGATCTTTAAAATATTCCATGTAGCTAAATTCTGTAATTTTCATGTCAAAACAATATTTCTTGGAATTGATAAACAATAATTTGATTGCCCAGTCCTCTAATGTTGGAAATTTAGCCCCAGCACCTATCCCCAGGTGCAAAGAGCATCCATGTAAATTTACCTGATATGCTGATTTGCTTTAAATAAATACATCATGGTGGGATTATTGTGTCAAAGTATAAGAACACTATTATATCATTTAGGTAAAAGTAAGAAATAAAGTCCAACTCCTTATTCTCTGGTGGATTCTTTCTACATAGTTTGAAGATAGTATACAACTTAGTACTCGAAAGTGTGAAACATACATGGAGTACTATAGGAATTCAAACTACATTTAGTTAAGATAGGAAGAAATAGGGACACAGATTTTAGCTATATAGCTCTTAAAAACAAAAAAGATGAGATTTCCAAAGTGGAAGGTGTGTGGCCCAGTGTGGCATAAGAACCAGCAGGGACAGAATAGGTTGAGGTTATGCAAAGGTCACAAGTGAAGACTGGATAAATTTGAACACGATCTAACAAATAGTGGAGAATCATTGTCATTATTTCAGTAGCAGAATGGCACAAAGAAAGAAGTGTTATATAATCTATAAAAGCAATACAGTCTTGCTCTAGGGAAGCTGAGGAACCTGGATACTACATTTCATTTTACTGAGCTTTTACATTTGTCATTAAATCCCAACACTTCCTCCCACTGTTCTTCAAGGCATGAGGAATGTAAAAATCCTAAAGCAGGATCAAGCCCAGTGTGCCTATGGGGAATATCCTAAATGGGATATGCTCGGTCAGCACAGCATGCCTGACCCTCCAATGAAGAAGACACAGAATCAATAATCCTTAGAGAGGGAAGGACAGTTCTGTATGGTAGAAAAGTTCTACCAGCTCGTGAACTATCCAAAAAATTTCCTTCCATTCCAGGCAATTAGTCTTCTACTCATTAAGTGAGGCAGCATTAATAATCGGTTAATATTTCAGCCCAAAGGTCAGAGTATAGATAAGGGAATTTTGCATTTTTGGAGTACCTTTTCCTGGTCTTCAAATCAAAGGTTACTAAAATTGAAAGACAGGGCAATCCCTGAAGAATGGAACCCAGTTCCCTTCAGAAGACTTGGGTATGGTAGTGATAAGATACTGTTCAGGCTGTTTGTTTCCAATTAATTGGAGTGGGGAAAAAAAAAGACTCCACTTAGGGAGAAAATATTCTGAGGACAGGGCTTCACTTTAAATGTGCTTTTCTCCTAACTGTGGAACAATGCCTGGACTGGTACCTGCCACATAGTACCTGCTCAACAAGGTTTAACTAATCAATGAATGAGCCAAATATACTAAGTGCCCATTAAATATTTGGTAATTACCTATTTGTTCAGTTTACAAGTTTTCTGTACCTGAATCTTTTTGACTAAAACTTAGTATGGGAGAAAACTTTCCCCTCCATTACAGTGAGAGGAGCTTGAGAGAAGAGTAAAGGAAAGGAAAAGAAAGTGTAGATTTCACCATAGGATAAAGTGTCACATGGGCCTGTATTACTCTCAACTACTGAGAGGTCTCTTGTCAGTTGTAAGACCATTTTCCAAAGCTATAAACTACCATAGAGAGATGTGAAGATGTCACTGTTTTGTTCAATGTTCCATTATCAAAGGCTAGTGTAGTAATTAGCACATAGAACACATTCATGCATATTTGATGAATAAATGATTGAAAGAAGGGAATATGGTTCTTCCTTCAGGGATTTCATAGTGAGGGTAGGAGACAGAACCCCACAGGAGAATTATGGAAACTTAGAAAACTTCCACAGCCTAAGACTCCATTAGTGGTCAACTCTCATGAATGCTCAATCAGTCATGAGTCCATCTACAGAGCCATTTTCCAGAACAGATACTTCAGTCTCCATAAGGATACCTTGAGAAACTATGTGGTTAATTTCTAACTCTCTATCTATCTCTATGAGATACTGGCAGAGTGGGAGGGATTTGAAAATTAAAAACAGAAGATTATATATGACTCTCTAGTTGAAGAAATAATACACATAACCATAAAATAATGACAGACTACGAATATAAATGCAAAAATTCCCCTATTGAAACCTTTTCTTCTTAGATAATTGCCCTGAAAAACATGACCAGGGCTTGGGAATAAGCATCAAATTGGTGTGACATAAAGCTAGTTATAGTCTTAGAAGCTCTCATTTTACAAAATTATCTTGCAAGTATAGCACATCCTAGGTACCCAAACCAGATGGCATAAGATTTGCTACCTTAAATATGCAGCCCACATGTCCACTGAATTGTGTAAGGGGCTAATTGGGAACATTAGATAACAACCCAAGCAACATAAACAACCCTGAAGTCATAGAAAACTGAAAGAAAATATATAGCTTTCTAAGGATTTTAAATGTTTAAAGCCCCTTAAGAAATACACCATATGCAAAATAAATATAAGAAATGTTGGATTGGCATTGGATTAACATACTATAATGCAGCAGTAGCAAATGAATCCCTTGATATCTGAATAATTAAGAGCCAGGATAGGATTTATAATCTAGGGCAACTAACACACAGAGCTGTAAGTGTGGTCTAGCATTAAGAATTCAGCACAACTGTATTGATGTCTTACTGTGGAGGCCTATGTATTTTTCTGCTTTATTTTAGGATAGGAGAGTATATGGATAGGTGAATCTGAGATCTTTATTTAAAATTCAACTTCTATTTAATATCACAGTTTGCATTAGAACAATATCAGACATTTAAAAAGGTCTTCTGCGTTTCTCATTCTTAGCATTTAACACTTTGAAAAACAGTTTGTAAGATATCATTCCAGGTTCATCATATCTTCCCTCACCAGTTAGTTACTGAATTCATTCATTCATTTCACAACCATTTATTGAGTACCTACTAAGTGTAAAATGCTGTGTTAGGCTTTGGATCTGTAAAATGACTGAGAGATACTTCATTCTGGTGGAAGTTTACTGTCTTTGGAAAGTCATTTAATAATGAGTAGTGATTCAGGAATATGTTAGCTTGTTTGAAAGTGAAAGTGAAGTTGCTCGGTAGTGTCCGACTCTTTGGACTGTAGACTACCAGGCCCCTCCAGCCATGGGATTCTCCAGGCAAGAATACTGGAGTGGGTTTCCATTTCCTTCTCCAGGGGATCTTCCCAACCCAGAGATCAAACCCAGGTCTCCCTCATTGCAGGCAGACGTTTTAACCTCTGAGCCACCTTTCAGTTCAGTTCACTTCAGTCGCTCAGTCATGTCCAATTCTTTGCAACCCCATGAATCACAGCACACCAGGCCTCCCTTTCCATCACAAACTCCTGGAGTTTACTCAAACTCATGCCCATCAAGTTGGTGATGCCATCCAGCTATCTCATCCTCTGTCATCCCCTTCTCCTCCTGCCCCCAATCCCTCCCAGCATCAGGGTCTTTTCCAACAACTCACCTCTTTGCATGAAGTGGCCAAAGCATTGGAGTTTCAGCTTCAGCATCAGTCCTTCCAATGAACACCCAGGACTGATCTCCTTTAGGATGGACTGGTTGGATCTCCTTGCAG